GGGGGGGGGGGGGGGAGGATCACACCCTCATCTCATGCTGAACACAAGAGACCCGGATAATTAGACCCTGAAGCCCTTCTGCTTCCTTCCATCTTAATTTGCCATTTCGCAGGGTTTTTGCAGTGGAAGTCGGGGTTCTGGGAGCTGCCTGAAGGTGGGGGCAGCCCTCGGCCCAGCCCTGCTTGGAGGGAACGCTGGGGCTTTGAGCTGTGGCAGCCTCTGGAGACAAAGATCACACATCGGCACCTCTGGGCCTGCACTTCTGCGGAGAGAAGCCCCACCGTGGGCAGAGCTCCCGCACGCCACGATGAGACTCACCCCCTCAGGAAAATTCTAAATCCTTGTAATAACATTTCAGTTTTGTTGCTTTATAATGTACTGTTACAGTGTAGGTCAGTTGCTGAACTGTACACACCCCCTGCTAACCTTAGTTACTACTCAAGAGCATTTTTTTTATTTTGTCTTAGCTGCCAGGGGTAGAATGTTGGCTGTGGTTACTTTTTCCACAACAAATAAAGCTGGGGGAAAAAAAAAAAAAACACAACACAGAATAAATACACCAAGCGTGTAGACCCTTCACGTACAGTATTCCTGCCACAGTTGGGAGTTCCCAGAACAGCTGATTCACACACTCCCAGCCGGGGCTGCAGGGCCAGCCCCAGAGTGTGCTAATGTCAGTGACAGCCCGGAATGTGACAGAGCACAGCCAGGTCAGGGAGAAGCCTTTAAACAAGGGGGGGTGGCTGCTTTTTTTTTTTTTTAAATATAGTGTCAGAACAGAACGAAGGAAAAGGATAGACTGACTCCAATTAAACCATACTATCCTGAAATATTTTATGATTTTCTTGCTCCATGCTTTGTTATGTACGTAATTATTTGATCAATTTGTATTCTCTGCACTCTTGGCCCTGGAGGCTGCGCTGTGCAGAGGGAGGAGCTGCAGGGTTGAGCTCAGTTTACATTTGCAAACCACTATGCAACAACGAGTGGGTTTTGTTGGTATTTTTGTTGTTTGGTGGGGTTTTTTCCCTCCCCCAAGAGCCCAATACCTGCTTTCCAACTGCACCGCAGTACCTCAGCTTTTATTTCAGTAGAACCAAGATATTTTGTTTTTTTCAGTCGTGTTCAAAACAGTTGCTGAGAGTCATCAGACTACGACAGCATTGAAACCAAAGCATAAACACTGACCTGCATGGAGGGAAGGAACGTGCTCCAGTCCTCCAGCCCACTGCTCTGCGAGGACCTTCCCCTCTCCCAACGTCCCAGCCCGGCGCTAGGCTGAGGCTGTGGAAAATAACACAGGGTACAGGAAAAGCAAAAGCCCGGGGGTGAGCTGAAGGAGGCGCAGAGCCCAGATCGGGGCAGGGGCTCAGCGTGTGGAGCTCCCGGCTGCTAGAACGCTGAGTTTTCTCCCCTACATCAGCCACAGAACCACGTGCTCCGCCTCAGGGATGGCAACGGGAGAGGGCCTGGAGGGACGCTCTGAGCGCACGAGACGCTTTATGTCCTAAACCAATTCAACACGACTTACCAGCTCCCAGTCCAGAGTTTCTAGTGAACCCACACAACCTCCCTTAGGCTTTTTCAGCTGGGAAACAGGCACGCATAATGCCAAAAAAGTTTGGCATTAAGCAATGTTTGGCTAATACACCTGGGGTAGTTTAGCATTAATTCAAAATTTGGTCCTTTATTAAGTTTTTTAAGTTTACAAATGGTAACAAAAGCATTACACTTCTGAAGAAAACACACCAAATCACATCTCCGAGTGCTCTTCAACATACTTACTTCCCCTTTAAAAGTCTGTGATTGTGTTGAAATATGCGTAACATGTTTCCCGATTTTCATTAGGTTACAGGAATTGTGTTACATCACAGACAGCTTTACCTGCAACGCCAGACACCACTCACTGAAATACTCTTGTCCTTTCACAGTTTAGTCCTTGAGCTTCACCATTGATTAACTGATTTTCCTCTGACTTCGACTATTCTTTGAGTCCCAGAGTATAACAACATTAAAATACACCAAAAATAATAAAAAGTGTAAGCAAGAAATAACAGACACAGATAGAGGGAATAAATCCGGTAACCGCTGGGGAGGATGCACGGCAGCACTCATCAGAGAGAGGACACCCATCAGGGTTAGGGAAAGAAGAAACTGTAAGGTAAGGAACGATGTATTAGCTGATGGTGGTTTAACAGCTCAAACAAGTAATCTGTTCCTTTTATCCCTGGCTGGTGTCAGCACTGGCGTGGCCAGCAGGGACAGGGAAGGGATCTGAGCCCTGTGCTGGGCACTGGGGAGGCCGCCCCTCAATAAGTGGGTTCAGTTCTGGGCCCCTCACCCCAAAAAGGCCATTGAATGACTCGAGCGTGGCCAGAGAAGGGCAAGGGAGCTGGGGCAGGGTCTGGAGCACAGGTCTGCTGGGGAGCGGCTGGGGGAACTGGGGGGGTTCAGTCTGGAGAAGAGGAGGCTGAGGGGAGACCTCCTGGCCCTCGGCAACTCCCTGCCAGGAGGGGGCAGAGAGGGGGGATGAGTCTTGAACCAAGTAATAAAAGATAGAACAAGAGGTAATGGCCTCAAATTGCACCAGGGAAGGTTTTAGACTAGATATTAGGAAGCATTTCTTTACAGAACAGGTTGTTAGGCATTGGAACGGGCTGCCCAGGGAGGTGGTGGAGTCCCCATCCCTGGAGGGGTTTAAGAGTAGAGTCAACATAGCACTGAGGGATCTGGTGGAGTTGGGAACTGTCAATGTTAGGTTAATGGTTGGACTGGATGATCTTCAAGGTCTTTTCCGACCTAGACAGTTCTGTGATTTCTTGGGTGCTCTGTATTCTTCAATCTACACATAGATGACATTGCAGAAAAAAAAAATTTTAGCACACCTCCACACTGAGAGCGCATAGCTTTCCCTGGTCAGGGCTTTACATGCAGTTACGGACACGAAACTGGTTTACATGAGTGCTTCAGTACCACGAAGAGCTGCAACTAAGAGTTAAAGGAATTATAATTGCTTACCAGACACCTGACAATCTTTGGAAATGACTTAAACCAAGAGACATATCCCTTGAGGGAAAGGGAGAACGGTTTGAGCTGCAGGTCCTCCGCTGAGGTCTTCTCAAAGATGGAAAAGGAAGTGGCACAGACCAAGAGGAACGCCAGCGTGGTCACGGCGTAAGCCAGCAGCAGGCCGTCCTTCAGCAGAAGGGGCAACATGCTGTTCAAACAGAATTGAAGAGGAAAAAGAATACATTTATATTTGCTAGAACTGAGGAAGAACGCAGTTTTTAAATAACGTTAATAGTGCCCAACTCACCTGAAGGTTGATACAAGTAAAAACCACGTAGCCATAAAAGGGATTTCGTTTATGATTAAGCAGACTGGTCTAGAACGAAAAAGAGGAAAACCAGCTATGGAAGCACCAAAGGGAGAGCACGTCGTTCTCAGCCTTCGATGTGGATGCAGGGCAGAGCTCTCCAGAAAACCCAGAAGAGACAGTGCCCAAGCCCAGCCCCCCACTGAACCCCGATGTGCTGCCCCGCGCGGGGGCTGCAGCAGGCAGGCTCGTGTGGCTCCAAGGAGCACCTGTATGGCAACGACTAGACAACCGCCTGCAGAGCGACCCAGAGACTCCAACCACCACCCTGGCCTCCCCACCAGTCCTCTTAAGAGGTTAAGCTTAATAACTGTTAAGTATTAACCTCTCCAAATGTTCCTTCGTCAAACATTACTCACATCCATGTAGAAGAGCAAAGCTGCTGCCCCCAACTCCTTGGGGCAGGGAGGAACAATGACAGAGGGAGAGGGGGGCCCTTGACAGTTGCTGTTAGTGAGGTATCAACCGCCCAATTCAACCAGTGCCCGTGCTCCAGCCTTGCTGGGCAGCCCCAGCTGTGCCTCTGCTGTCTATGGCAGCATCACCCTAGGCAGCCCGGGCAGACAGCTACACCCAGCGCAGCAGGAACGCTGGCCCGGAGAGAGGAGTGAAGGGAGAGACCAGCCCGCTGTATGCGTGTGCTTTCACTTACCAGTTGGTCAGAAAAACAAATGTGTAGTTTTTGAAATCAGATATATGTGTGAGAAAGCAGCATGCAATAACGAGATGTGGAAAAGGTCAAAATACATCCACAGAAAAATAATTTACTTACACTGACACTAGAAGAATAGATTTTTCATGTACTTGAAAGGAGAACAGGAAAAATGACAATGCACAGCTAACCTTAGGAAAGGAAACCAGAGGTGCATTAGTCTGTGCGACTGCAATCAAAGTGCTGTTTTGAGTTTCTCTGCTGGCACAGACTTTACAGGAACGTATGAGCTAAATGGTCTGATTTTTCTAATTAACTGCTAATTTACTCCAGTGCCATTTACAAGCACATAGAGCTGCTTCTGTGACCACCTACACACACTAACACATACGTTCTTTGAGAGTTTACCCCAAATTATTCAGAAAACCCTTCACGTAAAGAGCCCTCGCTCCTGGTTAATTATAGACAAGAGCATCCCCACCAAGGCCAACATTCGCACACTTAAGCATGAGCAAAGCTCCCTCATGGTGAGAACTACCCACCTTTCTGACATAAGATTTTGCTCATCATCATGAAGCCAATACACCAAAAGTAAACAATTTTTTTTTTTCCTCCACAGAACAAAAAACCCACACTGTAAAACATAAACTAATTCTTAAAAAGGATAAATGTCAGTTTTAGGCAGCGATGCGATAAACTCTCAAACAGTACTCACATAATTTCTATTTTTAATTTTATCTTGTAACTCCTGACACCTTAGGACCAGCTCCATCTAATTTTGATTTCAAGGAAAACTGATTTTTGCATATAAGCTATGTTAATGTGCTTAAATTCAATGATACGATATGACTAAGAAAAGGCAAACATTTGGGAAAATCGTATCATTTTCTTTTCAAACTGCTAACGAGCTTGCGATGTCCGTCTTGGGACTTTTTTATTGAATTTTGCAGCCAATGCAGTAAGAAAAACCAGCACTTCACAAGCTAAACAAAAAGAGGAGAAACTCCAACTCTATATGAGGTTTTAACGCGTACAGAATCTTAAGACTCTTCAGGGGGGGATAAGAAAAATACAGGATTAAATAAAAAGGATTGAGGCTAAGAAAAAAAGTCTGGATTTAAAAGACAGGTCAGAGCCCCCTGGACATGTGTTTTGGCCAACCTCTTCAGCAGAGACAGGGCGACATTTAACAGACCACGCAGCGCCGCATGTTGCTGCCACTACGAGTAGAACCAGTGCTCAGTGGTGGGTATAAAACAAGGAGCAGCTAAAGACACACACTTACCAAAGCAAATTTAAATCCTCGGAGAGAAGGCTGGACAGTTAGTTTTATACAAGTAGGAAGCAGGCTCAGGAATGTTACAGCAAAACTAAAGAATTTTATAAGAAGAAGTTTTAATGCATGAGTAACTACATCCATGATATCACATAGTTTTCAAAAGCGATTACATAAGTTAGGAATTCAAGTGTCATTTTCAGAAGTACACAAAAAAAAAAATCACTCAAGACTCAATCACAAGAGAAGAGCACTGAATGGTCTTCACTGGCATAAGTGCTTTTGAAAAAGGAATGAACCATTTCCATTAATTTTTCAGACTCTGTAGACCTAGACTTGAATTCTTCACTTAGTCAAAAAACAGAACTGTGAACTCAGACTTAAGAGGTAATACTCTGAAAAGGCAAGCGTGCAAATTTTAACTCAGTTTTAACCAACAGAGTACTCTAAATCACTATACAAACCAGCAGGAAATATTCCAGTTGTAAGTATTAGAATCACAGAATGATTTGGGTTGGAACTAGGTCATCTAGTCCAAATCCCCTGCAACAAAATGGGACATCTTCAACTATTCCTAACAGGACTCAAGGAAACCCTCATCACTTGGGAGAAGAGTACAGTATAGGGAAGAAAACATTTTTTTTCAAGATTTTAGACAGAAATTCTTGTAATTCTTTGACAAAAAAATACGCATTTTGCCAAAAATAATGCAGATAATTTTATCTAAAGCATTTCAGTTTTGTCTTACCTGAGTTTTAGTTGAGTTTGAGGTGATATGATATTCTTTATCTTTATAAGGACACTTAGACTGCACCAAATATTGGCTACTTTATCCTGTCAGGGGGAAAAAAAAGGATAATTAGTGATAATGACACTCATTTAAACCGATGTTTGTGACAAGAATGGGGCTTGAGAGGTGGGGGATAGTTGGGTTTCTACCATGATACTGCAAAAAGACACATGTAGACATCCATCATATTCTTAGATGTACTTTAAGCTATTCTGATCTTCAAAAATGGCAAGTTTCAAGAGACTCAAAACATGTTCTGAAGTGCTCATGAACTAGTTCAAGAGCACAAGAGACAACTCCTTAACTCATGAGATCACACATTTTGAGAGAATAAGGCTCAGAAACTACCCATCCATGACTAAACGCTGGCATATATAAATCTTTTTTCCAAATGTGAAGATGTTGTGTGTACCGTCACATTTCATTACATACCTGAATGTATTTAGCTGTGCCTACTGCTTGCTAGCAATGACAGAGTTAACCTCTAATAAATCAAGGAGTCTAAAGACATTAGCAGTTGTGCTAGGATCACTTTCAAAATTAAATTTGTAACTACAGCTATCATGCTCGTGAAACTCATCCCTAAACAGCTGCTTGAATCACAGCTGTGTAGACATAACAGCAAGAAAGCTACTAGCACCAACAACTGAGCCATCTTCCTCATATGCTCACCAGCAAGACGGAATATGCACTTCAAAATCTGCTGGGGATTCCAAGCCAACAGAGGGCTTGGCAGCACCAGCCAACACACGGGACGCCTACTTAATAGCCAATACGATTTTACAACCATCAGCATTTGTTACCACTGCTGTAAATGGGAACCAAGTCAAAGAACCTGTTACACGCTCCCCAGTATAAATTTACTGCTCATTGCTTACGTGGACAATTTCTCATTTTATCTAGATTAGCATCCAGCAAGTCACTCCCCTGATCGACTCAGAAAATATTTGGGCTAATATTAGACTAAAATCCTTAAGCTCTTTCGGACTCACTAGTTATTGTCATTTTACAGATTTTATTTTTATAGTTGGTACTGAATAAGAGGTGTGGTAATCAAAACTATTTATTTATAAATTCCAGATAATACTCAAGGAATAGGTCATTGTGGGTTTTTTTGGGGGGAGTGTAGGGGGGTGGTGTGTCTTTTCTGGAGGGGTTGTGATTTTTTTTAAACAAACTAGCAGAGAATACACAGAGAACACGTCTGTAACAGTCCCAAAATAAAATGCTACCTTTGGTACATCAGCATTAACTTTTAAAGAAAAAAAGCAGCCAGTTGTGATATTATTCACATCTAGAGAAGATTAAAAGAAAATTTAAGATGAATTAAACTACGTAAGCATTTGCTTAAATCCATCTGACATCAAAACCTGGAAATTCAAAGCTTCATTTTATTGGTTAAACTTGGAAGTGAGGAATCTGCTTTTAGAAATGTACTATTAGACTCCTGCCCTAATTAAGCAAAACAGCAATAACTCACTGTTACTTGGGAAATGAGTACTCTTTCTTTTATCAGCAAGACTCCTGTGGCCTTAGGTAAAGGAGTAATTGCTCTACTGGATTAAGGCTGCTCAGCACCTTGTAGGATGCAAATGTCGATGGCCTGAGAAAAACAAAAGCAGAACCAGCCTAAAACTTTTAGAAAATATTGTGGAAGCTTGCACTGAAAATACAAGGTGGGTTAAAAAGGAAGTTCTAGGCTTCACCCAAAACACTTTTTTTTTTTTTTTTTAAATAATGAATCCCCTGAAAAAAAAAAAAAAAAAAAAAAAGATGAGCAGAACCAAAGGCAGAGATTGAAGCTGTTAACTTTTAAGGTTACATCTTCTGACACTGTCAATTATGATGGAATCTATTTCAATGGAAAAATGTATGGATTGAAGTATGAGTTTGATGATGGGATAAGTGTGGTCTACTCGTATAATATCCTGGAAGATGCCAGCTGAGCTGGGGTTAAATACTGGATTAAATAACTGGCAAGAAACGAGTGCTGAAGAAGCCATCTCAAATTACTAGTTCTGTGGTGTGTCTCCCACATGAAATCCCTAAAGGTCACGATGAAGGTTTCTCAAGGGATCTAAGAATACAGAACATTTACAGCGGGGTGGGGGAGAAGAAAACATGCATGCCTCAAACAAGCCTCGGTCAATGGGAAAGAGTCTTCTGAGTACTTGCATGATTTGTTCCATGTCGGTACAGAACGGGAGCCAGCAGACAGCAAAGGAAACCACCACTGTCCCGGCTATTTTAGTTAACAATACTAATCTGCAATCAAGAGAAAAGCTTACGTCAGAAAAGAGAAATCCAGCTACTGCTACAGAAAGTTATTCGTTTGTAGCATAAGCATTCGTTTAAAAAAAAAAAAAAAAAAAAAAAAAAGAGAAAGTGAAGGTAACAAATCTAAACAAAAAGAGCTACCAGTACTATCAAAATCATCCCCAGATTAGTGAGAACAACTCCATGAGAACCACAAAGCCACTGTTGTCAACCTAACCGGGGTGCCCACCACAGCCCATATTTAATTTAGCTTATGGAAGGAAGAGTGATAAGAAAGGACATCTTAACAGATTCTGATACCCGTTCCGTGGAAATACATAACGTAGGTCTCAACCAGAAGTGTTCATTGGGCAGGAGATGAACACATTACAGCCAGAAAAGTATCTCCCGCCAGAAATTAATTCAGAAATGCCCACGTGCAAATAAGGAGAACCACATTCTCAGTGCCAGGCTGCCTGGGTGTATGCTTGAGGAAGATAAAACGGTTTAGAGTCACTTACCCCTTTCCTTTCAGTCCCTTCTTGAAGCACTTCCCAAGTAAATAGCAAAAAAAGGGCAGAGAATGGTAGAGTTCCATTTGCTTATAATTTAAGGCCAAGCAGAACGCCGCTGACCCCAAAAGGTCCCAGTCATAAGACAAATAAAGCACGCCCCACAAGGCCAAGCCAAGGCTCACTGAGTTGTATATGGTTTTTTATGTCAAGGACAAGGTCTACATCTCAGTATTGGAAGTCAGTCATGAATGCCTCAAGGGACATGCGTAAAATAGCGTGCAAAATAAGTTTTTCCAAGTTCATCTTAGAAACACATTGCCAGTTGTGCCTATGTTGTTCACAGACAGAAATCATTTTACTTCTATTTAAAGTGTAATTTTTTTTATTTCCAAGGCTTGATTCAAAAGCTTGCACAGGCAAACATGAGGACAAATAATGCGTGCGTGTTAATCATACACATAACGTATATTCAGTCAATCAAGCTTTCAGTGACAGCACTCTAAGATACATCAGGGTGAACATTTTTTCCTTGTTATTTTCATGATTAAGGATAAAGCTTTCAAGAGTCTCCCCTCACAGCTCCCAAAAGATAAGTGCAGAATACTCAAATACGTCGGTATTTAAATTATTTATTATTTAGTTCAAGGACTCCTGAGGTTTTTGTGATTCTATTATACTCACAGCGCACGCTCATCCATGACCAGCTTCCTCAGCTGCTAATACTGTTCAAACAATGAATAATAGTTACTAAAAGCAACGTTACTTCCTTATCACTTTGAGAATAGGCTCCCAAGCTCAGTAGAGTTTGAAGAGAATAACTATACTTACTATTAAATTGCAACAAAATATTACCTTTGTCTTTTACAATGAGAGAAACCAGTAAGACATACGGTCAGAAATGTCACAGTATTTTGTTTTCTCTTTGTCATTATAAATAGCTGTAACAACACATTCAGATTATCTAGCTTGTTTTCAGCCCAAATTTCCCACTCAAAATCCCCAGGTACTCTTGAGATCTCATCAACTGCACATCAACAAACTGTTATACCAAAAACCTTTGATCTTGCAGAGACGTGTAGCAACCGTTAAGGTTAAGTAAATCTATTGACTCCCTGGGAGCTGGTTGCAGGCAGCAAAGTTATTCAGGCCAGAGTCCCAGGGCCGGAACAGACCCCGGAGGCCACGCAGCACATCTGCCTGCTTGGACACGGCGTCTGCTACACCTACCTCACCCTGAGACGAGGTTTGCTGAACCTTTTCTTAAAGACCTCGATGCTGCAGATTCCACAACATCCACAGACAATATATTCCAGCATTTCACTGTAAGGTTCGAAAGATTTCTTCCCATGTATTTTTAAAAAAAAAAAAAACCACAATTATTCCCTATGGTAACTTAAGGCCATTACTTTTTGCACTATCAACACCAGACCCACATTCTTGCCTTCCTCCTTATAGACCTTTTACATATTAGACAATTGTAACCCTGTCCCTCCTCCTGACCACCAGCTTCTCTCACCTAAGATGAACTGTGTTCATTCCCATCCCCATTCTTTTAAGCGATGTCTCCAGAGGATCTACATGCTTAAAGAGTTGGGCACAAAATTGAATTTCAGAATTCCTGAACCATAACTCAAATATTCAACAGTATTATTAATTTTTTTTCCTTCAACATCTGCTTTCCAAGTTCACCATGCACTCTCTTGGAAGAAAACCACAAATTAGTAAACTATTTGATTGTCAAAACTTGATTTAGTAGTAGATGCCAAGATCCAACATCTCCTTAGAATATTTAAATATCTAAATTTATCACCACTCCAGAATTATGTCCCTCTGGCTCAACAGCACTGAGCAGCACAGTCAACTAACAGCAGTTGTTTGTTGATGTGCAAAACAAATATAAAACCAGAAATCTTATTTAAAGAGACCCACCTGTAAAGGTGTCTGCCACCAATATTGTCTAGTTAGCTCTGAGGGCCTAACTCATACTGGCTGCAGTGGGTGGGCACTGAGTGAATCCAGTCTCGAGTAATTGTGAAGGCAAGGCAAGACAAAACGGGACATTTTATAGAACTGAACATTTTACACAACCACACTTGACACACTCCTTTGCCATCTCAAGAAGATTTAAGGTGATTCTCTCTCCAAACACAAGTCACAGGAGCACAAGCCATCTTTTTTTCCACTGTCATTGTACCCCTGATGTTCTCTGCAATAAAGTGACTGACAGAAATAGGAGCTTAAGTTAGCACAGGAAGAATGCTATTCACATTTGGATTGATTTGTCCCAATATCAACTATTTATCTCCAATAGATTTCAGACTTGCAGTTTTCTTTAATCTCTCTGCTTTGTGGTCGGCAGAAGCCCCTCAGATGACCTTGTATACAAAAGTAACCTCCTGTCCGGCTAAAGGCAAGTACTAAAGAACAGTGTTATTTCATTAAATGGAAACTCATTTCACTGCAGAACAAGGATACTGGAAGTGTCCATGGTCAATAAGAATGAGGCCTGGATAAAGCAGTATGCAAAGAACACTGGAAACCTGGAAAGAAGGATCGAAAAAAAAAAAAGAGAGGGGAAAATAATTATTTCTAAGTCAGACATTAGACATAGGAATTTGAACTACTTCTCCATTACAAAAATTTACCCCTCCATGGTGCATCCTATATGTAGGAATCTTACTCTCCTCAAGTAATCTTCCGTCAGTGATATTTTGAAGAATAAAAAAGTATAAAGATTTTCCATAAATAAGAAAATATTGAATGGAGACCTGCCTGCCTTTCGCCAACCCACTCGCTCAAAGATCACCCACACCCATTCTAAACCTTGGAACAACTCAAAAAATCTGAAGACTTACTATTCCAAAATGTATTGGTTCTACCACAAGGATTGTGCAAGACAAAGCAGTTCCTAGATTCCCCCATGGCACAGCACAAATCTTGTTTTTACTACCCAAGTAATAAATTCAGAAAGAATATAACTCAGGAGTTCATGGCTACTAAACTTCAGAGCATCCTGTTATTGTTATTGAAAGCATTAAAATAATTGCTATAAGATAAATTAATGGCTTTTATCTTTTTCACTGTCATCAGTTTTACGTCAATTGAAGCCATCACAGTGTTCTGGATGTTAATTAACTCTCACACTGTTACGTTTCCACCCCGTTTTAATAGGACGCTTTCTTGGGTTTTTAATTTACACACACACACACACACACACACACACACACACACCCCCCATACTTGCCTTTTTTTTAGTAGATGTTTCTTTCAAGGAAAAACAATATACAATAACTGCAGGAATGTAAACCAGCAAATCAGCAACAAACACTGAAAAATAAAGATTAATTTTACATAAGAATCCTCCCATATACCTCACCTTAACGCTATTCCAGTTGTGTATTTTCATCTGGATTGTGAATCTTTGACTCTGCTTACAGTTTTAACTTAATGCTCCACATCTTTGCTTGTATTTGGTGTAAAAAAACCTCAGATGATAACAACTACACCGTGTTGGAGTGAGACTAGCTGCCTACCTTTTTTGCCCTCCCTGAAAACTTCACTTCAGTCATTCAATCAACTGAAGTTCAAAAGTCATGTGCCTATAGTTTCAGTTGAATCTGATTTTCTACTGTCTTACATGCCATTACATCATTGTTTTAAAAGATAGCTCAAGTTTGGCAGTTACACCAAAGCTACTTTTTTTCCAATCATTTTGGGAAAGACAGGGGAAAAATATAGACAAATAAACATTAAAATGCCTGAAAGTTCTTCATTAGAATAAACTGGGTAGCTGCACTTCAAAGGACAAAAAGAAATAGGTCTACAGAATTTGATCTTGTTAATGTTTCCAACGCTATCATTTCTGATGCCCAAAAGCTGTTGCTTCCATGTGTTCAGCTGTTTTGGCTTCTGGCACAGCCTCAGTCAATAAGGGAACACACTCTAGTTCCTCACATGCCGGAATGAGAGAAGGCATTCTTAATTCTCAAAAGAAATCAACTAGGACTAGATCCAGGCAAGTTGTTTGATGGAACAGATAGTCTGGAGACACAAATAATCAAGAAGCTCTGGATTATAACAATCTCCAATGTATCTGTGTGAATTACTAGTGATGTGGATAAATAGACTAAAAGCAGGGTTTTGGCTTTGATCATCTGCCTACAGCAAACGTATGTAAGAGGGTCGACATGAAAACAGAACCAGCAGGTTCACCTGCCTCGAATTATGTCTTGCTCATGCTTAAACCACCAGGTGAATTCTTCTGCAGTGAGTTTTTTTGAGAGTCTGAGAAAAATCTCGGCTTATTTCTATAAGCGGGTTTTAGAAAAAGTGCAGTTATTCCAAGAGGAAAAGTATTCTTTGCTTATACTTCTTTGGAAGAAAATGTTTCAAGATACCAGTTATTCAGTGAGGAATTGTTTTGCAGGCTTAAGCCACAATTAAACAAATATACCCAAGTCGTTAGCAAAACAAATACACAGACACTTAAAATAAGGGTGTAATACCAACAGCTTACATTGACCATTCTGAATTATTTTAATGCATTCTTCTAAGGGCTACTGTTAAAAAGCATTTATCAGCTCTCCTAGATCCATCAGTGGTTTGTCAAGTGAGTTGATTTCAAAATTAATAAAGACCATTTCAAGGGTAATTAAGTTCTAGTGATTTTTATTTTTTTCCAATTCAATCAATTACTAGAGACCAGACTGAGAGGTTTGTGAGGTACAGAAAAGCTACTGATGAGCAACAAATTCTGCTGTTGCAATCAGAAAGTATTCTGTGGAACCCTAGCGTTACGCAAAGCAAAAAAACAGATTTAAAATGAAAACAACAACAGGATAATATGACATCTGCCATTGCTTAGAGAACAAGAGCTCACTGGCCACGTTGTTTGCTGTCCTACTGATACAGCTACTGAATTATCTAGAAAAATCTTTCTGCACTTGTTTTATCCCTTTCTTTGTAGAAGCAGTTCAAAATAATCAAATGGTCCGAAGAATGACTGCAGGAAAGGGAAATTTAGGATAAAAGTGGTAAAATACATTTCTACTTTTTTGTTAACAGAAGTTTATCCCTAGAAAGTGGTGAGTATTTGAGAGAAAAGTGACATCTTTGAAAATATCAAATATTTCTCCCCTTCAGATAAGTTATATGGCTCATAATACAGATCTCCAAGACCTCACGAAGCTGTTAAGTCAGTGAATGCCAGACTACGTGTAAAATTATTTTGCAATAAAAAACAAGTTAAGCTGAAAATGAAAAGCGTATTTATCAGAATGGAAGGGAAAACAACAATATTATTTTCAAAATTTAAAAATGGGTATACGTTACCAAAAAAAAAAAAATATAGCTTTGGTTTAGAGTTTTTATAGAATCAGTTGGGTTGAAAACTTGTTTGTATATTTTATATTTATCAGCTTCACACATGACAGCAGAAGAGAAAAGAACACAGGAGTTTTGTTCATAAATGGACCTGCAAAGCCACCCAAGACAAAGAACTGAGGATAAACTGGTGAAGAGAGAGAAGCTGCATGATATTAAACATGCTAAATTAGTGAGACAAATCTGTATGATCATCCTAAGGAAATCTAGTTTTCCTACCTGTTGTACGCATAAATAACTTATGTGGCTGACTCTCATACCCCCGAGATGTGTGCAGAGCAATCCAATCAGGATTTATTAACTTTGCACTGTAAAACAAAGTACAGACACATCAAAATGTAGACAGTTCTCATTTCCCTTTACACTCCTTTCAGCAATAAAGATGACATGCACAGGAGCATACTCCAAGAATGAAGATGAATGAGAAGAAATATTTCAAAGAGCAATAGTGATCAATGAAAGATTTTCCTCACCACTAGATCAGTTTACACCACAGGCTTTAGCTCCTGTTTCACAATTTTAAAAAGCAAAACTTTGAAAAACAGCACAAATGGAATACAGTATTTATTAGGACAAGATAACCACTTTCAGTCTAGTTCCACTGACTTTTAAAAAAACAATTGTAAATACCTTTCATACTTAAGTATTAAATATAAACCATTTACAGTTCACATAGATGCCCCACATAACTGTGCCTGTGCACTTTAACCTACATTCTTATTCCATAAGTCTCATTCCAACAGCAGTAAAGCCCTTGTGGAAAAAGTATTCCAATAACAGAATTCTATTTACATGATATCCAGTCATCAAATGTCACTTGGGCTCTCACTACACGAGAGCTTTCCCATGTGATGCACCCAATTCCGACAGCCCTCTTCTCCATGCATCACTGATCCAGCAGTGGCTTCCATGGAAAGCTAAATGTCTAAGTCACACCTAAATCTGCTAAAATTTACAGACATGGTAAAAAGAATAATGTAATCCTTCAGTTCCCCCTTCCAATAAGTAAAAGACAGAAAAAAAGACAGTATTAATTTTAAGCAATAGGGATACGTGTAAAATCTATTTCCCTAGCAAACAATATTTTCCATTTCATCAAGTGCCCAGATGGGCAGTTTTTAGCTACTAGTTTCTCTCCTCAGGAGAGAAATTAAAAAAAAAAAAAAAAGTAGAGAGGTGAATCGGGTGTTTTGTATTCTCCACAGAACCACATAAGTACTTAAAATAATGAACTTACATGTAAGCGCACACAAAACTGTGATAGGCAGTAAGAGGTGGATAATCAAGGCCCCAGTACAAGAGGTTGTTATCGCTTGTATTGAAGTACCTAAAAAAAAGAAAATTAAATTTAAAGAAGGATCTACATTTCCAGCTTCGTTTCAGCCCAAGGAAAAGGCTGAATATTAAACTGAATGTTTTTATCAAAGTATTTAAAATCCAATATAGAAGTTAGCAGCTTTTATATCTGCTTTATTTTACTTCACACACAAAAAAAAAATCTCAGGCAACAAAACAAAGGCAAAAGTGATTCAGAGTACAGTTACCTGCGTTTGCAAAACTGATTTAAAAAAAGCTGCTAAAGCTTACTTACCTGGAGCAGGACGTAAACAGAATTTGACAAAAATGCAGAGACTAAGACAAAGCCTGCACAAAACCAAACGTACTGGAGCTCTAGATTTATGTGGTAGGCTTTGCAGGTCCTCACCTCCATCTACAAACGAAACCTCCACTTTCCATGCATGTCAATTATTCCAGAAGACAGCAATCAATTTGCCAAAAAGTAAATAAACCCAATGCAGGTAAAAGGAAATTTTAAAAGAAATGGAATTCACTAGTGATTTTTCCTTATATTAATCCTTTTTTTTTTTTTTTTTTTTTTTTGACTCAGACAGCACATTTAATATGTGACAGTGACTTCTGAATAGTTAAACTTTATCTGCTACTCTTTTAGCCTGTAATGTAGCAAGTTGTGAATGGCTTCTGCTCAACAGACCTTCATGTGAAAACTCTGAACAACCACCTGTTGGAGTTACACTGCTGAAAAGCAACTGAACAGAAGAGGGTGGCATAAAGATATTACACAGACAAGCAAAAAGCAGTATAGGTGTGGAAAAAAAATATGTCACCACAGGTCCACCTAGGAAATTCTGTCAGCACGAATGTAGGAATCCGGGGACTAAAAAGTTCCTTCAAAGGCAACACCAAGGTATCAGAGTAACACGTCCTGAATAACCAACACAAGGTCACGAACCTCAATCGTGTTCTACCTCAGAACTTGAGTGGACCACATGAGAGAAAGGAAAAAGGATTTTCCCATTTGTAATTGCGCTGTGTCGCTACTTCTATGGACGGCTAATTAAGTGACCTCTTCCATATGAGAAACAGAAGGTCTGAACCAAGGAAAACAGAAGTTAGAAAAAAATAAGGCATCAGACCCTTCATATCTCACAGTGAAACAGACTGACTCGTCTACACTAACTGCCAAGGGGCAAGCTCTTGGCTTTTCCAGTTCCTCCCTCCAAATGCAGTCGATATTTGACATTTATTATGGTAAATGATATTTCCTGAATTCTTTATGAGCTGCCTGAAGTATCTTACGAACTGATGATAAATCACATTTCTTTTGAGTTGCATCTCTGCTTCTTATGCTACGATTCAAGATTGCTCATGCCAAGACAGTTCAGATTCTTCATGCAGACTGTAAAAGTCTGCAACTCAGTAGTAAACTTTCCGGGTTTGGAGTTTTTTTTAATTTTACCTTTCATAAACTCATCGTTTCAACGCAAAAAACAACCTCTATACCCAGAAATATTTAGGAAAAAAACCCTTCACAGTTTTAATTAGCAGTACAATAAGAATGTTCTTAAAGTAGCCTTTAATAAATAAGGTCAAGACTCTAAAGAATAATATAAAAAAATTAAATACTTCAATTCTGGCCTCTGGCTCAGAGAAATCTCACACAAGGAAACCAAGTACAAACCATACTGTGGTTTAGTGCAGCATTGCTTTTAAAATACATCTTTGTTTTGGACCAAAGAAAACAAGCACGGAACATACAGCTATATTGCCTACACATGCCTGTTTAACTGTAAACATGACAATTAAGTCCGTGAAAAGATCAAGAGGCCTTACAGGACTGTGTCCTCATGAGAGAGCTGCTCTCTATATTTACCTAGACAAATTCACAGAAGAACACGTGCTTGCTGCATAAACAGCTTTTCTAAGTACTAAACAAATAATAGTACTAGAAGGGATTGGAATCTCAAGTTCAAATTTGAAGACTATTTTTACATACTGGAGCATAATGTCTTTTCACACCGTGTATTTCTATCAGACAGGAGGGAAAAACAGCTTAGCATTCTAGAGTGAAATCCTTTACATGTCAGCCAAAATGTTCTTTTCCAAATGCCCAAGACTGAATATGACTTTGTCGTATTAGCGATTCAATTCCCAAAGCAGACTCAATCCAAAAAACTTCTGTTCTAAATAAAATGAAGAGCAAATACAACAAGACTGAGATGCCCAACTGGCAGCCCATAAGCTAAACCCAGCCTGCAATATAGTTTCATCTGGCCCCTGGGAATGCCTAGAAATAATGACTGCTATAACTCTTAATTTTAAGTACATATAGTTCCGCGTAACAGAGTGGATCAAAGCTGCCAACTCTAAGTCAGCTCTCCATTATCCCAACTCTGACACATCAAGGGGTTTAGATATCCCAGAAAAATGTAGAAATGATGATTTAGATACAACGGGATGATCTGAAGTCACAATATAATCTGCAGAGTTCTGCACTTTCAGAACTGGCCCCACACATATTTACAGAAATACAACTGAATTAACATTCTATTCTGTCATATTGGTCTGTTCCCCAACAGATAGCCAAGGAAAAAATTCTACCAAAGAGAATGCCACTATCCCTGTTGGAAAAATGACCTGGAGCACCAATATTTTCCAATTTGTCTTGTAGCGTATACACAGACTAAATAATTTTTACTGTTCCACTAAAGCTCTAAGGAATATTAGGAATAATGTAAAAATAAATAAATAAATAAAAACTTTAGGACAGTTTTCCTGCTGTTTTAAGTGAGCTGTACAAATGAAGTTCACTATGCTTACATCTAGACTCCAGACACCCACATTTTAAAATCTGTATTAAGAACACGGTGTGAACAATGAACTCACAGGTATGAAAAACCACCAGTGCCTCCAGCACAAGAACTCGAGTCTCTGCATTTACTGGCATGTCCTGCCTTTTAGCTGAGGGGAAACGAGCAGAGTTCATTTGGGTTTTTCAGTGCTGATAATCATGAAAGTTTTTGTGCATTAGAGAACGGCAACTCAGGAAGCTGAACAGATTTTCTTCTAAACCAGGAAAACAAGCTTCTCTGATCTCTTATATAAGCCTGCTAAAAAAATTGCTTCTTGATCTTTCCAGTCAATTCAAAACAAAGCTGGAGCTTCACAACAGAGAGACCTACCCGTCAGATAATTTTGTTATACAAGCTCACAGCTAGCAAGTCAAATTTCGCTTGCCTTCTTGTGAAGAAAATGGTACCTCAGTCTAAGAACAGGGTGATATGACATTACTACAAAAGGGGATTTAGAACAGTTCAGAGAACAGTAGAAGACATTGCAGAGATCTCAAAGGTATATTAAAGTAAGATACGAACCAAAGTTTTGTTACATTTACACCTTTGTAACCCGAACTACAATAGTACTACGTACCACTGCCTGATGGGCAAATTGTAAGTAACTTCTTGCCAGTGTCTCTGAGCTTCGTAGTCTCCATACATCGGTGGCTTTCCTGCACCTAAAAAGAGATGACAGAGTATTTAGGAATTTATTTGGTTTATGAGGATTGCTTTTCCTCCATATATGTATTTGCATATTATTATGTTACTAATTTTATTCTCTACTCCTCTGTGATATTTGAGAACAAGATAAAGACCTCATCTGCTATGCAATCTAATGGGGAGGGGAGGGAAGTTATATTCTTTTGGCTTTCTGGATATTTCTGTGATAAGCATTTATCAAGATATTCCACTGTGAAGAATTGCTTCCTCATCTGACAAAAAAAAAAAATCACTTCCAAGTGTAGATGAAAAATGTGGCACCTTCTTTGAAATAAGAAAATGTACATAATGAACATCTTGTACTGATTTTGTGTGAACTACTAGTACAGTATTAGTATATAGCATAGCTTCCTTAGTATATAATAATTGACAGTGTTTTCACTTGTCTTTCAGCCATGTCATGGTACTTTGCTATTAAAAGTAACAACCAGCCTTATTTTTAAATTTACTTAGAATTAAGACCTGCTGCAAGTCCCCCAGTTCCTCTCCCTTTCTTTCCTCTGCTGCCTGTGTTGCAACACTAGCAAGAACACTGCACCTGTCTCTTCCCCCATGATTCTTCAGAGGCAGGATCAGGCCATTCAGTACACAGAACAGGTTTAGAAGACATTTTTCTTACAATCTACAAAGCTTTCTAAATAATACCTGCTCCATTTTGGTTAAGAGGAATTCTCTCACACATTTTCAGCAGAGTGGATGTTACGCAGCAGTTCTGCTAAGTGAATTATGTTAAAGGACACTTTTCATGCATTAGTCTCTCAGGAAACTTAAGATTTTTTTTTCCCCCATGGAAAAAGGCTTTATCAATGCAAGTGCTTCAGATGTCTACTCATAAACAATTCCCCCAACATAAGCCTAACTCTGGTAATGGCAGTATATTAAGCACCTTTATCAGAGTTTATTTACTTCTATTAGCCTGTGCTTATTGAGAACAGAAACTGGACTGATAGTACTTCCAGTAAAATATTGACGCCAGACAGACAGAGATTTAACAGTTTCTTTAAAATATAGGAAAGCCATCTATATTTTTTTCACGTGATCTATGTTTGTGGGAATCACACAAGCTCAGATATGTGCTATTTATTCCTGGGTTGTGGAGAGAACAGATTATCTCCGCTAATTTATTCCTGGGTAGTAAAGAGAGTAGATTATCTCCATTATATGACACATTCAACTAAAAGTTTCCCAAATAAGCGAGGTCACTGGATAACAGGAGTCTTACCAGTGTCCACTCTTGTAGCTATAAATCTAGTGGAAGAAAGAACCTGTCGTAGGAGTACCAAAAAACAAAAATAGGCATTATCCAAATTTTAGAGTGTGTGTATTTGTGTGTATATTCACACACATATATTTTATTGCAGCTTCTCCCCTGTTCAAAAAATAAACTAATTGGCTTCAGAATGATCAAGATCTTAATCCAAAGGTTCAATTACTAAAAGCCAAATCCAGTCTGATCACACATCAGTTTGAGAATGCTTATTTAGCTTCCATCTACAGCATGTATCAAGTATAGAGCCAAACAGAATTCAGAATTAATAAAAATTATTTTAAAGGGTCACAAATACTTTAAATTTAGCGTGGTCTTATTCAGTTTTATTGTTACATCGAAACAGACATTTTTAAGGGTCTGAAGCTGCCTTTCAACACGGGTAGTTATCTTCTACTCATTTAGCAGGAGTTTGGCAATGCATTAAAAAAAAATTATGCATTAATCTATGAAGCCAAATTCTTCCTCAATAATTCTCCAAGACCAACTAACCTAAAGTCATGGTAAATGATAACCTTTCAAAACTAGCTATTATCTGCTTTCTCACCACCGTGGCCCTAATTCCAGAGGCAGATCTAAAAGCATGCTAGATGGCAAGCAACAGGATGGAAACAATACAGCAACCCCAGACTATACAGTAAATGAGGGCAGAATTAACCCCCATCCACGCCCCGTGTGGCTTCAGAGCATGCCGAATCAGCGTTTCTACCAGAGTCTGCTTCAGAGAAAGACATCTACTTCCTAGCTTTTGCTCAACTTTATTGCACTGAACAGCAGTGAAAGCAAAACAGGACCACGGCAGTTTAAACATTACCCTGCCCGACTCTTTTTTTCTTGCTCCTGTCGTTAGTTTATGACATCTGAAGGAAGTCAAAAAGTAAAAACCAATCCAGTGTACTTACGCATTTGACAGCTCTTTCTATCATTCAGGTTTGCCTTTTTTCAGCCAGCCAATGCTCAAAGTTAAGCACATGCTTTAATAATTTGCAGGACTGGATCGGACTCAGCTTTTCCTACTCTGAAAGGAGTCATACAATCATTGTGTAGGAAACAAGATTTTAAAATTATTTTAGTTCAGGCGTTACTTTAAGACTCTCTTTCAGACACTTGATTGGTTTGAAATCAAATCAACTTTAGAAAAATCTAGTTAGTGTAATTGTAAATACCTGCAGTGCAAGAGAAATTTAGGATTGTGTGGCAGAAGACAAGAGTGTTTGTTTTTCTGCCTACAGATGGGTAAACGAGAGCCTCAGTTACCCACAGAACACATCTCTCATAATGGTATTCTCAGAAAGCAAACTCAAAATAAAACAACTGTGCAAGAAGGTATGCACGCAACTTAACTTCAAGCAAATTCCTTCAAGAAAATAAAACCCAGGAGTTACTTAACATCACTAGAATACTACTGAACAGCTCCAGCTACTCAGGGGCTGAGGCTCCCAACTGCTTTAACAGAAATCCAGAGTTGAATCTGACTGAGCTTGTGATTCTTCTAGCTGATGGGGATTGGAAGTAATGGCTCAGTTTATGAAAAAAAAATAAAATAAAATAAAAAAAATTGCAGAGTGCCAGCTTTGTGCAAGCTTATGCTAAGTGTAGGAATGGACTGAGAGCTTTGGAAAAAGAACTTAATAGTTCTTTGCAAGCATTATAAGATGGGGAGAAGAAAAACTCATCTATTAAAAAACATATAGCTCTAGTTCATGCTATAAACAATATTAAGGAAGTATAGCTACAAGGCAGAGTGCAATCGCTCACTCCATGTCACTCTACACCATCTTCTTTATCACCAGTACAGTTTAACTAAATACAAATTAAGGCTACCTCTGTTATTGAACTTAAAGGACAAGAGTAAACAATTGGACCGCAATAATATTCTGCAGCTACTGAAACAACAAAGGCATGGGGTGAACAGCCAGCAGTTCTTCAGCTCCTCCTAAAACATTACTATCACCCTCCCACCCCTGTCTCTTATA